TGTGAGATCCTGTACCACCCGGGCAAAGCTAATGTTGTAGCTGATGCCCTGAGCCGTAGGGTGGAGGGTGCCTCAATTCAAGACATTTGTATGCGGTTGACAGTGATGACTCCGGTGTTGGACACCATTCGGGAGGCCCAAGAAGGGGCCGTGATACCAGAGAACTGCAAGAGGGAGCGGGTGATCGGGCAAGTACCTGAGTTTGTTACCGATAGCTGCGGGCTTATGATCTTTCAGGGTCGGATTTGGGTGCCGTATGCAGGAGGGGCACATACCACTTTGATGGAGGAGGCGTACCGATCAGGGTTCTCGATCCATCCCGGGGCCACTAAGATGTATTTGGATCTGAAGAAAGATTATTGGTGGCCCTGTATGAAGAGGGATGTTGCATGGTTCGTTGTGAGGTGCTTGACCTGTCGCAGGGTTAAGGTCGAGCACCAGCGTCTGCACAGAAAGTTGCATCCACTTGAGGTTCCCCAGTGGAAGTGGGAACAGATCTTCATGGATTTTATCACCAAATTGCCGAGGACCACGAGTGACGTCGATGCGATTTGGGTGATCATCGACCGGCTGACGAAGAGCGCTCACTTCCTTGCTATCAGTGAGAGCTCTTCTGCAGAGAGACTGGCAAAGTTGTATGTGAGGGAGGTGGTATCACGGCATGGAGTACCGATCTCGATTGTGTCAGATAGAGATGTACGTTTCACTTCCAGGTTCTGGAAGAATTTCCACGAGGAGTTGAGCACGAGGCTGCATTTCAGTACCACTTACCACCCACAGACGGACGGACAGAGTGAGCGAATGATTCAGACGCTCGAGGACATGCTTCAGGCATGTGTGTTGGAATTTGGAGGAAGTTGGGACATGTACTTATCGTTGGCTGAGTTTTCCTATAACAACAGCCACCATTCGAGTATTGGTAAGCCTCCCTTCAAGTTGCTGTATGGGATGAGGTGTAGGACTCCCATTTGCTGGGGAGAGGTAGGGCAACGCGTGATGGTCAAAACTGAGATAGTGCTTCATACCGAGCAGATACAACATGTCAGACAGAGGTTGTTGACGGCTTAGAGTCGCCATAAGGGTTATGCGGACAGGCGACGGTCCGAGCTTAAGTTCCAGGTGGGAGATTTCGTACTCTTGAAGGTGTCTCCTTGTAAAGGAGTGATTCGATTCAGGAAGAGGGGCAAGCTGGAGCCTCGGTACATTGGGTCGTTCAGGGTGACCGCGAGGGTAGGTAGGGTAGCGTATCGGTTGGAGCTACCTGCGGAGTTGAACCAGATTCATGATACTTTCCATGTGTCTCAATTGAGGAAATGTATAGCCGACGAGTCGGAGGTGGTACCGCTGGAGGATATTCAGGTGGATGCGAGCCTGAATTATGCTGAGAGACCAATCGCAATCCGGGATCAGAAGATCAAGGTTCTAAGGAACAAGGAGGTGCCCCTGGTTCAGGTCCAGTGGCAACATTGGAGAGGGTCCGAGCTGACTTGGGAGCCGGAGTTGGAGATGCGAAAGCAGCACCCCGAATTGTTTGCCGAGCGAGACTTCGAGTACGAAGTCTTATTCTAGTGGGGGAGAACTGTAACATCCGGATTCCTAGGTATTCCATGTTGTTGATTATTTTTGAGTTAGAGAGAGGGAATCGACGAGTTGGCGCTTAGACTCGTCGAGTAGGATCGCGATTTGTTGACTGGATTAATGAATGGACTCGACGAGTCGGAAGGGGTGAACTCGACGAGTCCGTGCTGTGAGTTGAAACCCTAAATCCCCGGGCTTGTACCCTATTTAAAGGACCTTATGGCCCTTAGTTGCGGCTACCTTCGTCCTTGAGAGCACCCAGAGCATCGGTGAGCCTTGAGAGTGAGAGAAGAGCCATTGTTCACCATTTCTTGTGTGTTTTAGCAAGAAGGAAGGATATAGAACAAGCTAAGCGGGCTGAGGAGCTTGGATCCACTTCTATTTGATCAGAGGAAGATGTTGGAGGTAACAATCTGTGCCATTCTCGTATTTATAATAATTCTAGTGGAATCTAGGGTTTCTTTATGCCTTTTTTTGGTTTGAATCTGGAGTATGTGAGGTCCCAAGGTGAAATTGTTCATAGATCTGGACCTTAAGAGGTCCATAGAGTCCTTACCACTCTGCTTTATGCCATACCTTTTGAGTTAGGAGCCTAGGAGGCCATTTTAGAGGTTATTTCACCAAAAGAAGCTTTGGTGGTGTTGCATGTGTACCAAGATTCGGCCTTTACGTGATTATCATGCTTGGGAAGGTCAGATCTATAGGTTAAAGAAGCAGGACTGACCTCAGAAGGTCATTCGAGTATGATCATGGAAGTAACTCGGCGAGTTCATAAGTGAACTCGACGAGTCGAGTCGGGGTTGCCCCACGATTCGAGACAGGAGGAACTCGTCGAGTGAAGGGGATGACTCGATGTGCCGAGCGAGGCTAGAAGGATGCAGAAGACCCGTATGAACTCGCCGAGTCACTCATGTGGACTCGACGAGTCGGGTCAAAGTTTTACCGTTGACTTTCGTTGACCTTAGGGTTTTGGTCAAGACTGATTCAAGAGAGTTTAGGGAGGGGTAGAATGGCCTTCTACCCAATTCTTAGAGATGAGACTATGAGAGAGTATTGATCGGGAATGTTATTTGAATGATAGGAGGAGGCTAGGTCGGGACGTTGAGTACGAGAGTTTATCTGACTTCGTTTGAGGTGAGTCTTCTCACTATACTGTACCTGGAAGGGTACCTATGTGTGACCGGAAGGTCTTATATGCTATGAGATGTATGTGTTATATGTTGTTATGTGATATGTATGTGTTATGTATGTTATGTATGATAAGGACCGGAAGGTCAAGATGACATGGACCAGAAGGTCAGGAGGTTACGGACCGGAAGGTCGATACGGGTAGGGCCGGAAGGTCTACCGGGATTCGGGACGGAAGTCCCCTGAGACACTTGGACCGGAAGGTCCCACAGAGTTATGGCCTGGAAAGGTGTATGTGTTGTATGTGGTATTTTGGGGAACGCACTAAGCATTTATGCTTATAGTTGTTGTGTTATGTGTTTCAGGTACTAGCGAGGATCGCGGGAAGGCGCCGACATGATCCGTACACACTCATAGAGATTTTGTTTGAGATTCTGGGATTTTTTTTGTTATGATAACATTGGATACATTGTGTTTGATATTGTTTTTGATGATTAAAAGTATGATTTAAAAATGAAAAATTGTTTTGAAAATTCACGTTGTTACAATTTGAGTCTCCTGCACAACTTAAGTTTTGTATTCAAAATTATGGGGTGTCAAATGGATATCAGATATACTTTGAAAAATGTGATAAAACAAGAATAGTTGCAAGATGTGGGAAGAGGACAGAGATGAATGATTGTCCTTTCAGATTGTATGTTGGATGGATGTACAATCAAAATCATTTCAAGTTAAAAATTTGGTTGTAGAGCATCGTTGCAGTAGGAAGTTCAAATTTGGAAGTGTTGTTTCCTCTGAATGGATAGATAGGCATTACATTACTGGAATTGCAAACACACCTAAGATGAAACTTAGGGACATGAGTGCTTATATCAAACAAAAGTTGAGATGTGTAGTATCCATTGGGCAAGTCTGTAGGGCAAAAAACGGGCCACTGAGTTAATTGAAGGAAAACTAACTGAACATTATGCTAGGGTATGGGATTATGCTGATGAATTATTAAGGTCCAAACCCGATTCTACATAGTGTCACTGTCAATCCAGATGGGAAGAAATACTTCCACATATTTTACATAGGTTTCAAAGCTCTAAGTGATGGATGTAAATTAGGGTGTAGAAGAGTAATTGGGTTGGATGGATGCTTCCTGAAAGGACAAGTGAAGGGTGAGTTGTTGACTGCCATTGGTAGAGATGCTAATAACCATGTATATCCTATAGCATGGGATGTTGTTGATGTTGAAAACAAGCCTAAATGGACTTGGTTTATTGAGCTTCTTAGAGATAGTTTAGGCCTTCATGATGGCAGAGGATTGGTGGTGATATCTGACCAACATAAGGTTTGTTTTCAATACTCTATTTTATATAAATGTTAACACAATTTAAAAGGGATGCATATTGAGTTGAATGTTCTTGTCTTGTACGGATTGGTTGAAGCTGTAAAAGATATACTCCCAAATGTTGAGCACAGGCAATGTGCCAGGCATGTTTATGCCAATTTCAAGAAAGCATACACAGGGTTGGAGTTCAAGAAATTATTTTGGGTTGCATCAATGAGTTGTGTAGAAAGTGACTTTATGAGGCACATGGAAACCATCAAGAAGTTGAGCCCATCTGCATATGAGTACTTGATGTCAAGACAACCAAAAACATGGTGTAGAGCTTATTTTGATAGGGGTTATGCATGTGAAGCAGTTGAGAATGGAATCTCTGAGTGTTTCAACTCAATCATTGTTGATGCTAGGAAAAAACCCTTATCACAATGCTTGAGGAGATCAGGATATATATAATGGATAGGTTTTCCCACATGACATAGGAAAATGTTAAATGGAAATCAAATGTTTGTCCTGCTATACTTAGGAAAATGCAGTTGTTTGGGAAAAATATGAGGTATGCATCAAAGAAATTTAACATTTGTTGTTTCTTTTTATTGTTCTTACTTACTATACCAATTTATGTAGGTTATGGTTTGTAGTTCATAGTCAAGGACATGTTTTTGAAGCTAGAAGAGGATGTGACAACTATATGGTGGACTTGGACATCAGGGCTTGTAATTGCAGATTATGGGATTTGTCTAGGATCCCATGTGTACATGAAAATGCAGCATCAATTACATCAATCAAACACTAGATGTATATATTGATGAGTACTTTTCAAAGGAAAATTGTAAACAGTCTTACTTCTCTAATATCAAACCAGTGAATGGGAGTAATCTTTGGAGCCAAACTGGATTCATAAAGCCATTGCCTCCTTTGGCTAGGAGAATGCTAGGTAGGCCTACTACCAAAAGGAAGAGGCATGCTAGTGAACAAGAGGGGAGATTTTCATCAACAAGGGTATTTGTTCCAAGAACAGTAAGATGTGGGAAGTGCTTAGAGTATGGCAATAGTAAAAAAAGTTGTAAGAATGAGAAAAAGCCAGTAGTACCTTTACCACCAAAGAAAAGAGGCAGACCAAGGAAAGATCCATTGTTAACTGATTAAGAGCTTCTCAATCCAGTCATTCTCCAAAGAAGAAAAACAAGTCAAAGAAATAAGCATCAAATTCCAAGGTTTTAAAAGCATCAAGGTCCAAAAAAGAGGCTACTGAATATGATGAATCATTAAGAGCTTCTCAATCCAGTCAACCTCCAAAAAATAAAAACAAGTCAAAGAAAGAAGCATCAAGTTCCAAGGTTTTAAAAGCATCAAGGTCCAAAAAAGAGGCTACTTCAACTCAGAAAGAAGATGTTTCTGCAACTCAAAAAGAAGTTGTTGTTAATGGTATTCAGATTGGGGAAGGTGATGGTATTGAGACTGGGGATCATGGTGATAGTATTGAGACTGGGGATCATGGTGATGGTATTGAGACTGGGGATCATGGTGATGATATTCAGACTAGGGATGTTAATGATGTTATTGTTGAAGATGGTCATATTGCTGAAGAAGTTGAAGTGGTTGATGTTGGAAAAGAAGATGTTTTGCTTCCAAGGGTTGGTTTAGAGCTACACAAGGTACTTGATGAGGTTGAGCAGGGGCTGGACGAAATATTAGGGGAAGGTAGTTTTTAACAACAATCAGAAACCTATGATGCTACTCAATCAGATTATGGGGGTAATGTTGAGTTTAATGATGGAAAAAATGATGGTGTCCTTGTAGATAAGGTAAAGCTGGATGCTGAACAGATTGCATTGATGTTGGAAGCAGGATATAGCATGGAAGAAATTGAAGGTATGGAAGGGGTAGAAATGGAACTGGATGACATGCCACCCGTTGAGTTGGTAAGAAATTACTTTTTTGTAATTTTTTTTCATTATTTTTCTCCAATTTAATTTATTTATGTAATTATGAATATCAGGATATGGAAGATGTATTGGATCATCCATCTGATAATGATGATGATGCTATTATTGATGATGTTGATGGTATTGTTGATGATGCTATTATTGAGGTTGATGGTGGTGGTGAACAAGAAGAAGGAGGTGATGATGGTCACTTGGGTGATGATGAAGGTGAACAAGAAAAGGAGGTGATGATGAAGGTCATGATGATGTCCCTAGAGTGACAAAGTTGAGAAAACCCTCTGAAAGGATCATTTTGCAGAAGTAGAAGAAGACGGTGTTTGACAAAATTTGAGGTGGTTCATCTACTAGCAATCCAGTTAGGTTGGAGTAGTTGGTTAAGTGCTTTGGGGGTGTAGTGGGGAGGGTAAACACGGGCAGATGGAGCCCTTTTTGCTAAATATTATTGTCATTCCACCTACTAAATGCATAATACACCCACTTGTTTTATGTTATAAACTTGGTTGCCTTTTTTTGATAATTTATTTAGGCTTTTGGATACAATTAGATGGCTGCTACGTATTAGTGAAATGTAAAAAACCTTATGCAATTAATACACCCCCTTTTATTTGTGTTATGATGAATATGTTATCCATTGTTGTCAATTTTTATTAGCATATAAGAATCTTACTTTTCATTTATGTTATGTTGAATATGTTTACCAGTATTGTCAACTTTGATAACCATTTATGCATCTTACTTCCCATTTGTGTTATGGTGCATATGTTTACCATTATTGGCACATTTGATTACCATTTTATGCATCTTACTTTGCATTTGTGTTCTGCTGAATGTGTAGTTACCATTTTCACAAAACCATTCATAAAATAGATCATAGCCATACAAACTTGAATACCATTGCACCATTCAAACTTTTATAGATTCAGTATATCTACCAATGTAATAAACTACACTACAAACTACTTATCATTTCATCTAACTTACATCTTAATAACGACAACAACAAGACATACCAAAATACTCACTAGCAGCCCTACAATCAATTTGAGCAACATCACAGATTCGATATCTTTATGTTGAAGGTTCAATTGCTTCTTAAAAGCCCTAAATTCGTCTTCTTCTTCATCAACCCATTTGAAATGACCACAACCACCATCTTCATCCTATAAAAAGAAGAATAAGATTACATAAAGAAGAGACGATAGTAGAGAGAGCATAACTAGGGAAAACATCACAACAATTACCTGGTAATTAGGGCAGCCATGAAACTTTCGTCTTGGGTTTTCTGGAGTGCGTGAAACATAAATAGGGCAAATATCACCACAGCTACATAGGATTATCTCCCGAATTTTTCTTCTTGATGTGCCGCTCCAGCTTGAATTTGATTTCGACGTTGTCATTTGGTGTAGAAATCTGATTTTGTTTTGGTGATGTTCTTCTTCAAAAACCCAGCTTCGTCATTTGGTAAATGGGGTTAAGAAACGGGGGAAAATTCTTCTACAGTTGAGGGGTAAGTGGAGGGGGTAACCGGTAAACCCTTTTGCAACCGGTTATTTGGCATAAACGCAAAAAAATGAGACAAGTATGCGACATTAACGACCCAAAAACCAGCCGGAGGGTAAAACCGACTTTTTCTTGCAACATTAAGGCTTTTTATGACATTATCCCCCAAAACATTGGTTAAAGGATGATGTCAACAAAAAATCCAATGATGGAAAATATAGAATTGAAATATAATCAATACCCTCATTTCTTTAGTTTAGAATTAAAGGTTCTCCTTTAATAATTTAGATTATAATTTAACACGTTTACAATTGCCTCTCAGTTTTGAACGTCTTGTATACCAATAAGGCTCTCATTCATACAACATTTTTCTCCATTTCTTCGAACGACACCACACAGTCAGTCGAGCGAGAGAGATGACAAAAAAAAACGATTACATTACCTCCTGCTTTGAATTACGATACGATGAACTTTTACGTTTTGCACCTCCGCCCTTTAAATTTGTTTTGCAGAAAGCTGACGGACATGCAGTAGAAGCCTTCCATTTTTGAACCCGTTTATAAAGATATCAGGCTTCTGATACATATTTTTCCCAAGATTAATCAGGTACCAACTGCTTTGAGTGGAATCCAATCGTTTTTTTCTTGAAACTGCAACCATTGTTACATAGTTTCCATATGATAAAAAATAAGAGCTTTAAACGCAACAGGGGAGATATGAAATCTAACTTTTCATTTGATTGTAGTTGCAAGTTCCATTTTATTATTCATATAACTTATCATTTTTGCACTCAAATCTTGGTTAAATTAATTGCAGAATTGGATAGCTTACTCAATGAGTTTGTAACATTTGAGTTTCTTACCAAAAGACTGGAGATGTTTTTTCATTATTTGGGTAATATTAACAGGCAACCATGTTGAGTCGATCTGGCCAAGCTTGGTCGTGTGTGAAAGCAATACAACAACTAAATTCATAGACATCATTTCATATAAATTAATGGACCTGCATTGCATTCGAGGCTTAGAGAGGAGCTTATCAATAGTCATTATGATTTTCATGTCTTTATGATTGTTGATCAATTTGTGAATATTCTAGGCTCAGATTTGTTCCCTCTTATATAAGTTTTCATCTTCATAAGGACCTCTATTTTAGAACTTTCTTATGTAGATATACTTAATCTACCCAAGCGTAACAACTTCATCTTACATAATTCATATTCATAACGCATAGGACCATCAGATTTGCCTAGTAGTTGGGTTCTTTTTTTTTTTTTTTTTTTTTTTTTTTTTTTTTTTTTTTAACGAATTACCAAATACATATTCAGATTCACATACATATATTTTATTGATAATGAGTCTTACAAAACTATATACATATTTAAAAATATAAATTTCATATCAAATTATAATATAAAAGTACAATATTTTTTATTTTTTATTTTTTTTATAAGTTTTGATACTACATATTCAATGTTTTTTTATAATATTAAAAATGAAAAAAATTTCAAATATATTTAATGGTGGTCTATATTTATTACTGTATGACGTGGCTAGTTCTAACAATATAATTTCTCAAAAATATTCATTTTTTATTATGTATTTATAATAAATTACAAAAACGTTATAAAGTGTTAGTGTTATACAATAAAATTAAAAAAGGACTAATACGAAACTATAAATGATGGTATCTATGTAAATTGGTCGGCAGATTCCAGATTTTTAAAAAAGAAAAAGTTAGGCATTATGGCAAAAAGCTAATTCATTGTGGAAGAAAAAAGAACGGACATGATAACTGGATAAGGAAAAAATTATGTCTATGGACCTACTAAGATATAAGTGAGTTCCAGCTGCACTAATTTACAAAATACTCGGTCTACTTACCTTTTTCTTCTTATCTGCAAATTCTCATCTCTTCAAATCAAAGCCCTCAAACAAAAGAACCGAATCTTTCCTTTCTCCAAATTCTAATGGCTGAAATCGTTGTTAGCGCCGTCATCACCGTGCTGTGTGAGAAGCTGATCTCTGGTGACTTGATGAAGCTCTCTCGATCAGAAGGGATCGATTCTCAGCTGAAGAAATGGAAGAAAAACCTACCCCTGATCCAAGCCGTGCTTGCTGATGCAACCCAGAAGCAAATAAAAGAGAGAGCTGTTCAACTGTGGGTGAGCGATCTCCAGCATTTGGCTTACGACATTGACGATGTACTCGACGATTTGGCCACCGAAGCTCTGCGACGCAAGTTGAATCAAGAAGCTCAAGCCAGCTCCAGTGGTAGTAAGGTATTGAAGCTCGTCCCAAATTGCTGCACTAATTTCACTCCTCGCAACATTATGTATGGTCAGCAAATGAGTTCTAAGCTAGAAGAGATCACTACCAAATTGCATGATCTTGTTGACCAGAAAAATGATTTGGGTTTGAATGTGAATGTTGAAAGGTCAAATATAACAGAAAGACGATTGGAGCAAACTTCACTGGTTGATGAGTCCAAAATCATGGGTCGAGAAGGGGATAAAGAGGCATTGTTAGAGAAATTGTTGGGAAATGAAGAATGTGATGAAAATGTGAGCATAGTGTCGATAATTGGTATGGGTGGAATAGGCAAAACCACTCTTGCCAAAGTTTTATACAACGAGCAGAAAGTGAAAGATCACTTTGAAGTCATGGCATGGGTTTGTGTTTCTGAAGAGTGCGATGTGTTTAACATTAGCAAGGCTATCTTCCAAGCAGTAACAGGTCAAAACAAAGATTTTGCTAATCTTGATCTGCTTCATGTGACCCTCAAAGAAGAACTTTCAAAGAAGAGGTTCCTACTTGTTCTAGATGATGTCTGGAATGAAGACGACAGTAAGTGGGAACTCATCCAAAGCCCTCTTCTTGTAGGGGCACCTGGAAGTAGAATTATTGTCACAACCCGGAGTACCAGAGTTGCATCAGTAATGGACTCGCAAGAAACTTACCCTCTAGGCGTTTTGTCAAATGAAGATGCACTGTCATTATTTGCTCAACATGCGTTAGGAGAAAAAAACTTTGACAATCATCCAACACTTAAGTTGCTTGGTGAAGGTATGGTTCAGAAATGTGGTAGATTGCCTTTGGCTTTGAAAGCACTTGGGAGGGTGTTGAAGGGAAATAGGAATGGTGATGAATGGGAGAAGTTGCTGAAGAGTGAGATATGGGATATAGAGGATGGAAATAAGAAGATTCTTCCGGCTCTTAGAATAAGCTACTATCATCTGCCTCCACATTTGAAGCAATTATTTGCATACTGCTCCTTAATTCCAAAGGACTATGTGTTTGACAAGAATAAGTTAGTCCTATTCAGGGTTGGCTTTCCATTATGGGTCTAGACAAAGTGATAAATCCAATACAAGCAAAGGATTCCAACTTACATCAAAAGAAGGGTCTTGAAGTTCTGGAGATGGAATGGAGTGATGTGTTTGATGATTCTCGGAATGAGACGATTGAATATGAAGTGCTTAAAGAACTTAGACCTCCTCCTAAGTTAAAAAACCTCAAGATTTTGAATAACATGGGAATGAGTTTTCCCTGTTGGGTCGGTGATCCCTCGTTTGAACAGTTAACAGAGCTTACATTATGTGGTTGTAGAAGTACACATTTAAGACTTGGACATATGCGTTCTCTTAAGAAATTGGTTGTTGAAAGGATGAATGAGGTGAAGACTGTGGGTTTTGAATTACCTGCACCTACGAATTCTTTTCCATCACTTGAAGTTCTAACATTCAAAGATATGCAAGGTTGGCAGAGATGGTCAATTGATAGTGGGGATGACCATGGAACTCCTAGATCATTTCCTCGTCTTCATGTGATCTCTATTAAATGTTGTCCTGAACTAGCTGAAGTGTCAGTCGGATTGATACCTTCACTTCGGGTTTTATATATAGAAGAATGTTCTGAACCGTTGTTAAGAAGCATGGTTGGTTTGTCCTCATCACTTGTTAAATTGAAAATAGAGAATGTTAAAGGACTTACTCAACTACATGGAGACGATTTAATGCATCTCGGGGCACTTAAAAATCTTTGTATTAAAAATTGTGATGAACTGAAATACTTGTGGGAACAAGAATCAGAGGCATGCAAGAGTCTTGTGAGTTTACAGAATTTGGAAGTACAGGATTGTAAAAACTTTGTTTCATCAGCCCAGAAAGAGGCCAATATTGGGATCAGCATGGAATCACTTAAATCTGTGAAATTTATTAAGTGTGAGACATTGGAGAGTTACAATTGTACAAATACTGTTGAGAGGTTGGTCATCAGTACTTGTGCTTCAATATCATCCTTGACCTTCTCAGCAGTGCAGGAGCACCCATCCCCTCTTACTGAATTGATAGTCAGTGATTGTGGTAACATACAACCCAAACCCATTCCAGCAAAAGACTTCAGTTTGTCTCGCCTAACATCTCTTGAGATCAGTGATTGCAAGAATCTAAAGTCATTTCCTTATGAGCATTTTCAATGTCTCACATCTTTGGAAGACATGTGGATACGAGATTGTCCAAGTATGGACTACTCCTTTCCTTGTGGGGTGTGGCCTCCTAATTTAAGCAAATTAAAGATAGGAGGCTTAAATAAGCCCATGTCAGAGTGGGGTCCACAGAGTTTTCCTACCTCACTAGTTGACCTATTGTTATTTGGCGAAAATTCAGGAGTGGTTTCATTTGCAGTGGCGGACAATGTGAGGAATACTATTACTCCATCATCATCATCATCATCATCTTTTCTTCTTCTTCCACCATCTCTGGTTTTTCTAGAAGTCAATGGTTTTAAGGATGTGGAATCATTTTCAGAGGTCTTAGAACACCTCCCCTGCCTTAAAACACTTGATATTTCGAATTGCCCAAAGCTTGGAGATCTTGAGACCATTTACAACCCATCAAATGTGACAATAAGTGTGTGGACGTAGAAAAGGTTCGTCATCTCCTTTCCCATCATCTGTGTCTCTTACATAAGACTAATGTGACAATAAGTGTCTCCTTGTCCTTTCCCATCATTGTTTCTTAACAAACGTTAAAGAGGGTTCTACAGCTTGTATCCCAAAGTGTTACGGCTCATCTCTTATGCTAAACATCTCAACTTTTTTTTTTTGATAAATGTGATATTCCTTATAAAGTAAGATTTCAATTTCTGTGTACTTTTTTTAGTAACTATCCCAAAGTATTAGGGACATTAATTTTGAGACTTGTTTGTTTTGGTTTGTTGATAATACTATTACTGAACTAACAATCAAAACTAGTACAAAAATAAGAGAAAACTATAACTGCAGTAGTTGAATAGCTTTTCGGTTTTTGTAGAACTTTTACCATTAAGTTTCTATGTATATTGGTTGCAGCTGTATTATTTTATCTTAATTGCACCACTTCTTTTGTGTTTTCTTTTTCGTTGTCATATTGTAGTTTTCATTCATATTGGCTTCCAGTAAACTTGTGCATTGTTGAAAGAACTACTAGAAAACGTAACGAAATTGTGCACAATTTGGATTTCAATCCAGAATCTTTGACCCTTTATTTGGACATCAATCCAGAACCTTTGACCTTTTTTTTGTCAAACCCATTGGCTTTAAGTCATTGATTTTAATAATATTTTTGAAAATTGACACCATCTTAATCCCTTTGTAACCTTTTGTTATATAACTTCATATCTCTTTACAAATTTGTATCAGTTTCTAGTTTAGAAATAAATCCTTTTGATATCAAAACTTTTTCTGTTTTGGTAAAAAAATATGGTCAAACTCTGTATCGCATGGCTAATTGTCTTTTTGTGTGGCTATTCCCAGTATAATTAATGAGTATGTTAAGGACGATGTAAGTCATTAGTGATTAATTGTAGAGATTGTTTATAAAATCATATTAGAATATTCCGTATTATGTGATCTTGGCATGTTTCTATAAATTATGAGTTTAATCTTACGAAGTTGCTCAATTTCTACAGGTGCACGTTGGATCAAGGCTGTCTACATGATGTCAGCGAGGCAAATCAGCTAAATATGCATGGGGATGCACGTTGAAAAAAGTTATAAGACAATCAAGGGTACGAGTAAATACCAAATACAAATTCCATATTTGGGATGAATGGTGGATGAACTGTTGTATAGCTTCACTGAATTGTACTTAGATGTAGTAATTATCAAACATATTTTGTTTTGGGATTTTATTTAAAAACTAGTTTATAAAAAAAATGCATAGTACAAGAAATGGTTATCTTTATATATAAATAAACAAGACTAAATTACAAAATTAGTCCCTGTCGGCGAGTTGTATGAAGATGGGCATGGACTCGACGAGTTGGAAGAACAACTCGGCGAGTCTGTTGAAGATTGCCGTGGACTCGGGGAGTATACAATGAACATGAAATTGTCATCTTTATGTATAAACAAACAGGACTAAATTACAGGGTTTAGTCTAAAAATGAACTAATTTAGGCTCCTTTTTCATTTGTCTAGTAGTTATATCATGCAATAACATATGAAGCTAAATCATAGAGAAATTAAATACTGTCATATTTTTTTACTATCTATTTTCCTTTTTATATAAAATAATAACACGTAAATCTATTAATTATCTCTTAGTCATATTTTTTTTTTAAAATTTTTACATTTGTTTTGATCTAATAAAAAAAATAGATAGAGACAAAAGATAGCACAATATTTGATTTCTCCAAATCATGTTATCACCTTAAAAAATTAATGCACTCATCTTTATTACTGTGAAATGTTTGATAAAGCTTTTCATCTAATATGTTATTTTTAAACATGTGTAGTATTTTTTTAAGTATTTAACAATAACATTAAATAAAATCAATATATTACAATGCATGAAATTAAAATTAGAGATTATAATCAAACAAATTAATTAGTCAAAAAATATTAAAGCTCTAAGGTTTTTTTGAATGATAAATCTAATCTACTCCTTTTGATACCGCTAGAAGCCCTTTGGTGGTTAAATTTAATTAAGAGAGTCAATAGAATAATATTGAATAAAATGGGTTAAATGTACAAAACAAAAATCTAAAAAAAAAACATTTAGTATAATAACAGAGGTTGCTATAATTAATTCAAAAAATTATCTCCAATTGTAAAATTTGTGAGGTTTATTCTTAACATAATCTTTTCAAAAAGCTTTCATTAGAGATGGTTTAAGAGGGTTCTATGTTGATATCGGAACTCGACAAAAGTGTTGTGCGAAGCATGGTACCGAGGGGAACACCAACATGTGGTGGTGTGGTTCCACACTTCCACTCGCATGCGTTTTCCCTTTCCCAACTTTTCTTTGTGTGAACGTTGTCAATAGTCAAATCCCCCTATACACGTTTTATGTATTTTCATATTTTGTATTGTCTTTTAGTTTCACTCTTATATTTTATTTTTCTTTCCGACTTGAACTTTTTAAATTGTTGTTTTTTATTTATTTTAATTATTTTATTAAAAATGTTGTGGGAAGTTTGCTGCAACCCCCCTCTTTTCGGTTTAATATTTAAATATTTAGAAAATCATTTTTAATCATTTTAAAATCATCAGTTGTAGAAAATCGAAAATGAGATCTCATAGTCATTGTTTACAAAAGATTGCCAAATTTTAAGTACTTAGAGGCACTTAAACAATCATAATATCAAAAGAACAATTCAAGTAACCATATAATACTATGACCTTATAAAATTCCAATCCATCTAAGTTTTCATGTTGAATAGTCTAGAAATATTGAAACGATGATTTTTTTACCCCTTTAAGCATCGTACTTTGCTCATATGACCTATAAACCCTATCGAACTTCATTTTAAACTATTTCGATTATTTACATGCTTTAAAAACTTTATTATATATATATGATTTAACACCCTCATAACATCCTAAACATCATTGGATCATGACTTAAACCAAGATTTCCGGTTTAGGCCTAAAACTCCATAAAAAGGGTTTATTAACTTGGTTTCAATAGTGTTCATCAAGGACCAAAATGGTTCATCTGAGGTAACTTGGAATCGTTATAATACTCATAGATTTCTTGTAATTCATTCCAAGTGAGTGAATTCATTTGTTTCTAATCATGAAATCACCAATTCCATTTCCTAACTGATTATACACTCAACTCCACTAATCCTCATTAGAACCACTTTGGGTCCATGGATTTGTACCCAATTAAATGCCAAGTCCATATATCCAATATATTAAGTCAAATTTTATGGGATTTGCATTATACATATTAATTACTTGATGAAAATCTCTTTATCTACCAAGGAATATCCATTTCCAACTAGCGTAATACCCAACCGTTAGACGGATTGGCCGATTAATAAATTTTTGTTTAGTGTTTACTCAACTAAACGTTTAGACTTATGAGGCTTCTTACATATCTTAAGTTTGCTAATCCATGTAATATGGGTTTGAAATATGACATATTAGTCGCGTATTTCAATGTATTTAAATGTAAACTCGATAAGGCATTCCAACTACATAAAAGCATTCTATTGATTTTCAGAATTTTAACATTTTAGTATTTTTTTTGTTTCATATATGTATAATAAACAACTTCGTCGAGATGTCATGTTGTGACAACCGTCAAATTTCAGTCAATTCAAAGTCAAACAAAGTCAACAAGTCAAACCGGTCAACTCCAATAACCCTTGTATGTTAGGGTTTACGTTATGTAATCACTATACAATTCGCTATTTTAATGAGAAATCATCATTTGGAAAGTTCATGTGTTTGATTTTCCTTAGCCTTAACAGTGCTAAACAACGAACCAAAGCGATAAAACACTATTGCACAATCATCGGGATTGTGTAGGACACTAAATCATGGCTTAACGGGGTTTACGGACCTTGCGTTTCAAAGCCAAACACTCAAAAAGGTCTCAAAAGAACTCTCTCTCAATCTCTTTCACTCAATCTCTCTCTATTAGAAATCTCTCCCAAATCTCTCTCAAAAGTTCCTTTAACTTTTTGTAATCATTCGGGTCATCACGACCCTTAACCGGGTCAAAAATCACTTGAAACGGGGTAAAAACGGGTAAAATAGCCTTAAGGACCCAAAACCGAAGCTTCAGGACCGAAGCCTCGCATCCGAAGTGCTCAGGACCGAAGCCTCGGACCGAAGCCTCGCATCCGAAGTGCTCAGGACCGAAGCCTCGCACCGAAGCCTCAGGTCCGAACCTCGGCCCAGGACCGAGCAACTTCGCAGATTCAGCCTTTTTTCCCGGTTTTCGACTACGACTTCGTTTTAACTCCGTTTTTCATTATTTTAACGTGGGATTTTCACCCAAAACTTTATTTTATAAACTAAGGCCCCAAAATATATAAATCTCCAGGGTTTTTATAAAATATATTAAAAGAATTAGTGGTTGAACTAATTATTGAGGGAATATTTGCTTTTCCTTAATTTATGGCAAAAGCAAACCACCACCACCTCACTCTATGATTAGCCACTCTTTCCCACTACCACTTGTCTCCTTAGTGGACCTTTACACCCAATCTCCAGCTCTTCCCACGTTCTAAGAGCTGGAGGATTGATCCTCTCTCCTCATTCTCCATAAAACTCTTTCATTCTACACTTAGCAACCAAGAACACTCTCCAAAATTCTCTCATCTTTTCTCTCAACTTCAAGAACTTCAAGGCTTTCTCCAGGGATTTCTTTCTTCAATTAGTAAGTATCTTCATCATTCACATAATTATTAAACTCCATTCTACTCAAATCATTGATATCTTACACAAGTTCCATCTTATTCGGTGTTAGATTCTCGAATCATCAAGACATCTTCTTAGTGTTCTTGGGTTGAACACTTCCTCTCTCTCACTTTCATCTACTGAAACCACATAAGGTGAGTTCATACCCCTACATTTACATGTTTTTCTTAAGTTTTAAGGGGGGAATACAAGTAAAATCATCAAGAACACAATTAAACTTTTTCTAACAGATTACATCAGAAAAGATGGACGTTAATCACGGACTGTTTTGGTCAACTTAAATATTTTAGTTTTCAAAACTGTTCCAGGTGCAAGTAGTTCAAACTCTTAGCTTTAAAATGGCTACTTGCACATCTCCATATGATTTTTCTACAATTTATGGTGAGTTTTACAAAACTGCCTGTCATTTCAGAGGCAAACCCGGACCAGTATGTGATTATGAACATTTTCACCTCTGTTAGAGATCACTAAAAATCATGATAAAATTTACGAACAAACTAGACTCATATTCCAAACTCTCAAAATTTGCGGATTTGGATTTAGGGCTTTGATGATTTTTCTATAAATTTTCTAAGAACAGTAACAAAAACTGTTTTCAAAGAAAAGTTGCTGTTAATTTCATTTCACCTTGTAACATGTTGAGCAAGGTGTATATCTTTATGTGATTATATGTTATTGCAATATATGACATTTTATCTTAATATTTAGACACACATCAGTTTACAAATGGATTTGGTCATATAAAATATAAAGAATAAAAAGTGATTATAATCAAAGTACAATCGATACATTCAAACATTTAATAAACTATTTTGAATATAGTTTGCATACATTACCACGTACTACCCTTGGTTGATAAACTATAATATGTATAGTTTATGATACATTACATAACATATACATTTAAAAAGGGTACATTTATACAAAGGATATTTTCATTAAGCAAGGTACGACCATACGGTACCAAGTTTTCATAACACGTAATTCCGTTAATGACTTTGTGAGACATTTACTTCAAATTACTATTAAGTCCTGTATTGTAACCAGAGTCTCCTTGAGGGAGAGCGTGATACTTGTGTATAGATCTATATTGGGTTTGACAAACCCACACCTAAACTGCATGCAACAGTTAGACCGATAGGTCTGGGGTGACAAATGTCATAACATTTCCGACGCCTGAAGAACGTCGTTTTAGGCAACCTTGGTCATAGTATGGTTATAATAAACTCACATAAAGTATTAATAAACATTGGAATTTACGGGAACTTCATTAAAATTTAACGAGTTTATGTCGATTTAAACTTGCATTGTTTTACTATAAATATGACAAATTACTTGTACATTTCGGTCTTTGGGTTTTAAGACTACATTTACACATTAAGGAAAATATTGGATTTTCTAACACAAATACTACTTTTACAAACGAAAGGCTTTTAATAATACCAAACAAAAGCTTATGAACTCACCAACCTTTGTGTTGACACTTTTTCAAACAAC